TGGTACCGCTGACGGTAACCAAGGACACACACACGCACACTCAAACAGAGTGTAAACAAAAGGGCAGAAACACACTCAAACATAATGAGTCTGTGTGTCAACTCCACTTCATTGATATACTGCGAGTGTGTGTGTGCCGGGAGGTCTGTTTACACTGAGATACCCTACCAGCTCTCAGCAGCATTTCAGACCTGTCAGTGTGTTTATACCTCACACACACACACACACACACACAGGTTAGGCCTTCGTTACTTCCCATCGAGCCATCATTCGGAGCCAAGCAGCCGATCAAGCTGCCACCTCATAATGTTACCCAATCAAACATCGCTTCAGTTCGGTCTGCTGGTCAACTGATATTGGTTTTTAAATGCTGACATTAAATAAAAGTCCTATAATTCTGTTCAGTTCTATGGGAGCAGGACGCATTAGAGTTATAGTACGGGTATAGTACTCGACACCAACTTATTCGCCATCTTTCCAAAACTCAAAAGGTGGAGCGCCACCGTTCCACAGCGGCATGCAATGTGTCTGAAGGTATTTATTGGTCCAATTTATCCCTCAGTCGCTAATTCTGTCTTCAGCTGTGCACGCTGAACGCTCCACAGACGACTAGAGCCGCATTTATGCTTTTTTTCTCCACTAATTATGGGAAAAAACAGCCCAAACTGAACATACATTAGTCCGTCTCTTCATACATTATGTCTGTAGCTCTCAGCTCCAAACCCATTGGTTCCTACTAAAGATGTAAATCTTTAAAAAAGCTTGTTGATGCTCGTTTTCTATGTCGACTGATAAAAAGTCTGGTGGTGATCTGGTGCGTTCAAGTGCTGGCGGGGAAAAAAACTGATATCCGGGGTTTCCACTTCCACAGCAGCACAACAAATGATGTGTCTCAGGCTGCTTCCTTCTCTATAAAAGCTACAACAGTAAAGCTTCAAAGTAGGATATTAATCCTGAGTCCTGATGATTCATTCTTCTGGCAGATTTCACTGCGGAAAAAACAAGTTGGAGACTTTTAGTCTGCAATCGTTTGGCTTCTTTCTTCTTTCAGGAGGATTTAATCAACGTTTTATCTTTTCCTGACAACTTTAAGTTGAAACTGAGTAAATCTGGATGAGCAGATGATGAATCTGAAGGTTTTAAGGGTCAATTTAAATTCTCAACTGTTACAAGTACTGCAACTATTTCTCCAGAAAAAGGCTTTGATGATGAAAATGAAGGATGAAGGCTACTGATGTGAGCTCCAGGTGTGCCTCGTGGGGGCGCCGTGATCCTCGCTGGCCTTTTATAACTTTCCTGATTTGGATTCATGTCTTTTTTTGTTTCTCAAAACACAATCTATAAATAGAAAGTGGCAAAGGGCAGAGGATAAACCGTATGACCTCATTTAATCCACCGCCAGCTAACAAACAACATAATCTCTGTCATCTAATGAGCTCGAATACACACAAACACACACACACACACACACACACGATTCATGTCAGATATAAAATGTTCTGGATTAAATTAAACAAAAGAATGTTTGTTTTGGTAATCCTGAACTTCTCTGACCTCAACTGCGTCCAAAAACTGCAGATTAGACCCGATTTGTTGACGAGGGGACAGTGAAAGCACCACGTTTTCTCTCAGTTACTGATGCTGGAAGACTTCGGCGAGTGCTCTTTGGTTGAGTCTAACGTGACAGCGGCTGCTCACATTTAAATGGATTTGATTAAACACGTGTCGACAAAACAAAACAAAAGACAACACTGACCTACGATGACTTCAGCTCTCAGATCTCTGCACTGACTTCTTGTGAAAACTGGGTTATTAATAGATTTGTTGCAGCTGTTGTTAATCTTTGTCTAATTCTATTGGGTATAATCATGCTCTAAGTTTTGGAACTACAGCTCCAATAATGCTTTATAAACAGGAAGTATAACGTTGCTAAGGAGTCACTTTAGCCCAGGGGTTTTTAAGTCTATATTTTTTCATATTTTGTCAAATTTGCACCGTTAACCCTCATTTCTTTAAGTTTCATATCCCTAAAATCAGTTTTACCTATAAACTAAAAGGTTAAACAAGTCAATAAACCATAAATCTTTTTTAAAAAGTATTAAAATTGACTCATAAATGTAAAAAAATAAAAGTAAAAATGTCATCAAATCTTAAATAATAACAAGAAACATGGTGATTTAACACATTTCTAAACGTAGAAACATGAACAGAATATTTCTGGACTTTCCAGAAAGTCTCTTTTTGAGAGATGCTAATTTTTACTTTCATTTTTTAGCTGCTCCTCTCCTCCCGCTCTTCTCTATCCAACGCCAGTCAGCCGGTGCCATCACCCAGAGTGCAACACTGTGATCTTACAGATGTTAAAGCTTTCTGCTGCAAAAAGAATAAATGCTTTCACTATTATAGTTTTTATTTTAGATCGATTTAAACAGGAAACTGCACGAGGAATGAGAGGAATTAGCAATCAGCTGTTGTTTGTAGCAGAGCCGTGGATGTAAAGACAAACTACTGCTGAATAAAACCTTAAAATGTGACGATTCTCCTTCGATTCTGCAGGTTTTTTTCCTTCGATTTATGGATGTTTATTTATTATATTCATTAACACACAGAAAGTGAAACCACACTCTGAGTCTGTGTCGAGCTGAGTGACTCTCTCCTCTTTAAAAGCCTTCACACACAACAGTTCAGCTGCATCGGTCAACATGAGAGCAGTTCACTGACGTCACCCTGCAGAATTTTCAAGCTTCAAGTTCAACACTTAGTCAAAAATAAGGATTAAACCACACAGCTTAGCTTCTGTCGGTGCAGTTAGGGAGATTAAGAGACTTTTTGTAGTGTTTGTAAATATCTCTCTTAAACTCTTTACCTCTCAAACTGTCAATCAAATGAGCTTATGTAACAGTTTGAACTCTGCTGGCAGGGCTCTGCTCTCCGATAAGATCAATATAGGAAGCAGAAGTCATTAGCCTTTAGAGGAAAGTACACACACACACACACAGGTCTGACATATATTGTAACACACACACACACGTACACACACCACAGAGAGAGAGAGCTGACACATTTATTTTGTGACTGTGAAAGTCTGACGCAGTGAAAATGTGAAAGGTTTCTTGTCCAACGTTGATTTTTTTGCTGCATGAACACAGTTTCTGAAGGACAAAGCTGAAGGACAACACAGAAGACTGAGACAAGACAAGGTAAAATGTTCCCTGAATGCAACACCAAAAGGCACAATTTGTGGCACAATTCTCACCAAAACCCACCGACACACTCGTAGGTCAGTCATTAAAAACTCTCACATCTGTACAAAATCAATGCAACAAGATTTCAACCTTAAAGCTTCGTGAAGGGGAAACAAAAAGGGAGAAGTGTGAATTTAATCACTTCAGATGAAAACACAAGACTGGAAGCTGACGGACTTTATGATTTAACCAAAGCAAACAGCTAAACTGTTTTGAGGGATTTTTATGCTTTTTAATGTCTATTTACATCTGTAATGTTTGTAAAAAACAGCTTATAATTCCAATTATGAGCTAGAAAATGCAGATTTTCCACCTCTAACTGAAACTTTTCTGTCAGATACATCCAGACTTTTGGGTCTTTTTAAGGTAAATCCTAAATGAGTCACATTTTCTCTGACTTGAGTGGTTTCTGGAGCCACTTTTACAACATTTCCACTGAAGTAACATTTGAGTTAATCATCCACTTGAGTCGTCTGCTGTTGTTTCTAGAAGATAAAAACTTCTACAAATGAACTGAAGGTTTAGTTCAGTTTATCATTACTGTTTATAAAGCAGAGCCTGGAGGCTGCTGGTTGGGCTGATTTACAGTCCAATCAGTGTTTAATTAATGACACTGAACGCAGCATGCTGGAAGTTTATATGATGGAAAGACAACATGATTATAGCGCAACTCACTGTGGGGGCTAGAAACCCCTAAAGGAACACATTATACAAACAGTCTCAGAGGGAAAATTAGAGGAAATAAAAGGAAATCAAGCAGAATAAGGTCACTGTGTTTCAGTATTATGGCCTAATTAAGCTATTAAGCTAATTAAAACTAAATATTAACAACCACAGGAGATTAGCATGTTGAGCAATTCTGCAGGAATGTCGCAGAAAACATTTAAAATACCATAAATACCCAAATAAATACCTTTTAAAACGTGTGACACCTTGTTTCCTCCGTATTGTATAGATAATCATGATATATTAATAAATGAATCTCATTAATCCTGGTAATAACGAGGCACTGACCGTGTGCAGGACGGTGAAGGCGAGCAGGAGCAGAGCGAGCTGGTGCGTAAAGGACATGTTCGCATCTCATCCAGCGGAGGGTTGAAAGGGTTAACAGCACCTGAAGGGGCAGCTCATCGGACTGACATCCTCGGCAGGAAACACGTGTGGTGACCTGACACCAAACTGCAGTCTGGGAACTATTGTGGGTGTCTGTAACGCGCAGAGGTGTCGCCTGTAAGTCCGGTTTGGTTCGGCAGCTTTTACGCACGGATTCATCCAGTCGGACCTGAAACAGAATCACACCTGAAACAATCCAAACTGGTTCCTGTTTGAGGGTAAAGATCCGGGACAGTCGGTGTGTGATGAGTCCAGTATGCGGTCTGGTCCCGGTTCACTCCTCCTGCTCACTTTTAGAGCGCGTCCCCGTCACACGCGTCTCTCAGGACACCCCGGACCGATGCGCGCTCCCGCCGACAAGACCTGGAGGAGTTTTCATGAGTTTTTAAATTTGAAATAACAACAGCGACACCGTGTGGATGAACTCAGAACTCCTGCTGATTAAAATCAATCAATAAATATGTGAGGTTACAGTAAGTTTCCAAACGCTGGTCCAGAGGCCCTCAGAGGGTCCTCGAGTTGGACTCCAGTGGTCCAACAACAAAAATGAAACCCACATTTTATCTTTAAACCACGTAAGAGTGAATAAAAATGACTTTATTTATTCAGAATGGACTGAAACAATGTAATGGCTGATACTCTCCCTCCACACTGTAAGCTGATTATAATATATAAAATAAAATAATACAAGAAACCCACTAAGCACCTTGACTTTATTCCCTCATCTAGGACCTTAATAATGTTAATTTATTTGTAATAACTGTGAGGTTTTGGTCTATCGGGGGAATTACAAACCAAACAATCAATGGATTAATGGAGAAAATGATCAGCAGATTGATCCAGAATGAAAATAATTAGGAGTTGCAGCTGCAAAATAGTTCAAAATGAGCTCCAACAACTTCAGTAAAATCCTGCTTTTACATTCTTTTAATACTTTAAGTGTTTTTTCCTGATTACATTCTTTTACTGAAGTAAAGGATTCTTCCTCCTCCGCCGATATAAGCTGTTTTTATTGCCTCTTCTGCCTCATTTATACTGAAATAAACCTCCACTATGTTGTAAGTTTAATGTTGGTTGAGGCAGATGAAAGGACGGAGGATAAGAAAGGAGACTCCATCATCCGTCTGACCCCCTCACAGATCCTCCAGTCCAGTTTATGATACTGAAATCAGTCAGGAATGCTTTTAGAGTCGAGTCCGATCGGATCCGAACCAGAGAGGACAAGAAGTTAGAAACAGAAAGAATAAACAAGAAACAAGATAAAGAAAGTTTAAAGAAGTTTTTATTGTGTCTGTTTCTGTAAATATTGTTTAAATGTGTAAACTTTATTGTTTACAAGAGCGAAGACGTTTAACACGAAGCCAATAAAAAAAACAGTCTGGGAAAACTGGGAGAACACGACAGCTGTGACTCTTTGTGATAAACCAAAGACACAGAAGTTATAAGATTTAACATAAATAAAGTGTACAGATTTAATGTCACACAGAAAAACACATAAAAGTTTGATAATTAATTATAAATGTTTTTTTAGTGTAACATTTGTTAGGGCTGAACTTTATTCAGATAAATTAATAAAGGAGAAATGCTGTGTATGAGACATAACTTCCATTAACTGAATTTAAATGAGTACAATTAACTTAATTTACCTTAAGTTACCTTCACAATAAATACTTGAGTTACTTCTAATCAAATATCTTTCATATCTTTAATAAACTTAAACATTCTTTATTAATAAACAGAGGAGGCAAAACACACGTTCCTTCACTCGAGTAGAAGTACTGATACTTGAGAGAAGAAATATTGATTCAACTTGTTTTTAAAAGAGTATAAAAGTGTCTCTGAAGGACATTTCTATCAGCTGTTTCTGTGCAAAGATTCAAACATGGTCGAGTCTCACTCTCTGGTCTGTTTCATCTTTGTTTTCAGTGTTTTCATCGTGTGTGTAATGCTTTATATGCACCGACCTGGATGTTGGGAGGGAAACACTATATAATTAATAATTCTCCTCAAATGTATTAAAACTAAAGTAATGAGTCTGTTTTTAAAAAGTAAGGAGGAGGAAGTACAGATATCTGAACAAACTACTCAAGAACAAAGTGTTTGTAGTTTCCACCTCTGTGAATAATCAGTGTGCTAACAGCAGGTAACATGAAACACTTCCTGTTCCCCGCCTGCGTTCTGCTCCATCGGTCAGCGTCTGAAGCTTCAGGCAGGAACTCGTCTGTGAGTCAGCAGTCGAACAGTTAATGATATTACAGTTAATCTTCTGGAGACACCTGGGAATCCATGTTCCTGTCTGGGGGTGGGGGGTGGCAGCTTTAATTTCTTTAAATGCATGGAAATATTAATACAATTATTAAAAACAGCCTGTGAAATGACATGTCTGCTATAAAATAATGTTAACAATCTGTAAATTAAGTAAATTTCCTTTTTTCAGTTAAAATACATTTGCTTATTTAATAGATTTAATTTAAGTCCAATACTGTCAATGTATTTCTAAAATGATGTAAAATCAGTGACATTACAGTAAAAAGTATTAGTTGTGTAACTTTATAGGCTCTTAGTTTTAGGTTAACTGAAAGATATCTGTTTAGTGCATGGAGTTGATAATATGCGTCTGTTTACTCCAAGCCTGTACATACAGCGCATGCTGGCTCAACGCGTAGTCCAACATACACTACAGTTCTTTTATCAGTGTAAAAGCCAAATACATCTACTGTCATTCCTCAAGATAATGCACTTTTATTACTTACCAGTTCTAGGTAACGTTTCCTTCAAACATTCACCCGATTAAAATCAAACATAACAATCAATAAAAGATACCTCTAGTTATGCTGCTATAGGGCTAGACTCATACGCGGGAGGTTTCCCATGATGCACCCTGAGCTCCGTCTTCTCTTCTTCCTTTCGTGCACTCGATTTCATCGTCCCAATTAATGCCTGTTACTCCAAACTTTCACGCTTGCTCTTCCCGAGTTTCTGTGCTTTATCGTCCTGCAGGTTCTATGGCATTCCTGGTGAGGCCTCCGTGCCATGGCTGCCCTGCTAGGACTGCCGCCATTGCTAATATCACTGATATTATCGTCTTATTATTAGTTGTTTTAGTACTTGTTTTCGCTGGCGGTTGCTGTTGTCCACTGTGGCTGCCGCTGTCCCATGTGTTGTGCTGTCGCTCGTCGACCGTCTTTTTCATGATGTCATCGATATTACTAGTTAATGTAGTTGTTCTGCTGTTGGTTGCTGTATGATCTTTTCTCTCTCTCTCCTCCTTCTTCTCTCTTCTCTCTCCCACAACTGGTCCAAAGGACGATGACCACCCACCTAGAGCCGAAGGGTCTGCCGAGGTTTCCTGCCTGTTACCAAAAAGGCAGTTTTTTCCTTCGCCCTCGTCTCCAAGGTCTTGCTGCATTGGTGCGTACTGTTGGGGTCTCTGCAGCTGTTATCTGTGCAAAACTAAAACTACAAACATGGGCCGAGTTATGTTAGTTCTTATCATGTTACGTCGTTATGTGTGATATTGCACCAGTTTTTTATGTTATGGGAAATTCTATAATATTTTACATAATAACAATTTAGTAAAAGTTATTGATTATTCTATAAGAATAGTAATGAGCCTGGTTTTTAATACTGGTAAAGAGTAGAAAGTGACGGTAATTGTGTTAAAGGGGTGGAAAAAAAACAGTAAAAAAATTAATAAACATTACTGTAGTATTTAAGTAATCCTGTACTTTATTGATTCACAGTCATGCAGATATAAATGGTTTAAAATATCTGATATACATCATGTATACCTATGAAATTGTAAGATTACATTATTGCATACTGCAGACTTTAAGAAGTTATACAACCACTTTGTTCAAAGCTTGATGTAAAGGTCATTAATGTTGTTTGTACACATATAATCCCTCCCAATAAGAATCTTCTGTTTTTTTAAGTTATATTTTATTTCTCTGTTTCCTCCAAAATAATCCGGAGTGTTCCCCACAGCCTCACTGAAGCCGGCTGGTTAAAACCTTTAAAACATATGTTAGGAAATTAGGATTTGTTTTTTCCATCTGGAGGTTCTTTCAAAAACCAGTTTGATTCGCATAATTTTAACTGTAACAATATACAGTCAGTTCTCTATTGGTATACTGTATTATTTAGTCTCCTGAAAGTCACTCCAGACCAAAACCATCATAT